CCACCTTAGCGTCCTTTGTTGTTCCTCTATCATGCATGACAAGCTTCTGTCTCAGAGCCTTTGCACTTGTTTTTCTTTCTTCCTGGAATGTTCTTACTCTGGATTGTTCCAGTTTGCTTCCTCACCTCTTTTGGGTCTCTGCTCAAAAAGATCTTCTCAGAAAGGCCTTCCTTTACTACTCTATAAAAGTGCAGCCCATCCCATCTTCACCCCCAGCACTCTCTATTTCCCTCTTCTGCTTTACTTTTCTCCAAAGCACTTATCACCTTCCAACATACTACTTGATGTACTTTTTGAGTTGCCTGTTGCCTTCTATGAGAATTTAAATTCCAGAAATACAGAGAGGCTTTTTGTCTGATTGTTCACTGTTGTATCCCTAGAACTAAAACAGTGGGAGGTGCACAACAATCTTTAACATGTCAGCTCTCTTCTACCTATTTAGTAGTGACTCCACCTCTAGGAATGCTGCAGATAAACTATGTAAGAAAACAGGTAGTTGTCTGGATGAAAACTCTGAAGCAGAAAGTTATTTGTGTAAAGCAAGACAGACGGTATAAATATACCTCTGTTAACTGCTAAAATCATGACAGAGAAGGGTGTGAACTAAAAGTTACATTTAAGTTGGCAGCTAAGATAATGGTAAAAGGAAAAAATTATCTGTAATAATACATAATAAGACATAAGTCAAGGCAAGTGGCCCAGATCACCATGACGGGTGTGGAGATCCCAAAATCAGATGAAGAGTAAAGGACCATCACCCTAGCAATGTATGCAGGGTCCTGGCTAACAGTTTCTACATGGGACCACACCCAAGTGAAAGGGTAACACCTGAAGCTAGCCCTCTACCAGGGGCGAGAACTCCACAAACTGCTTCTATTATCCTACTTAAAATTCCTACTTTCTATTCACAGGCTGGAGAGAAAAGATGCTGATACTCAGAATTGACATCATCACTTGATATTGGGCCAAGAACCAAAAGATAGGTAGAATGCCCCCTCCCACCTCTTCCCTATCTCCTTTTTTGTTCTTAGGGTAAGAAGAGGCTGGGGAAGGGGGAGCCAGGTGGAAGTATAAAATATCTTCTAAAGATGTCCTGCCTCTGTCTGTTCCTCTAGAGGAAGCTTAGCAAACTTAATTATGGTTTTTAAAATTCAAAACCAATATTTGAATATTTTTGTCCTTATATATAAATACTTGTACATATACATTAAGGAATAAACCTTAATGACTGCTATCAATTTAAAAATAAAAAATAGCATGTAACAGATATTCTACAATTACATATGATGTAAAATAACATAGTGTTTTTAAAAAATGATATATAATGTTACAACATAGACCTGGGTCACAGTCTTCTAGGGCTCCCCAAAACTTCCTCCACAATTAAGGATAACTACTCTATCACAAGAAAATCAAGAAGGCTAGAAGATATGATTAGACAACCAAAAGATGCTTTATTTAGAAAACTGTCACTTTGTCTTTAGAAGTTAGCTGCTTTTCAACCAAAGACTATGTGGCAATTTTATTGGGAAAAAGAAGTATATTTTTCAAAGAAATAAGTTTATATATACTAGTGTGTTTTATTAATATTGAAAATTGCACTGCTGGGTATTTATCCAAAGAACATGAAAACACAAATGTGTAAAGATATATTTACCCCTATGTTCACTGTAGCATTATTCACAATGGCCAAGACTTGGGAACAACCTAAGTGCCCATCAAGGAATGAAAGGATAAAGAAGATGTGGTATATATACACATTGGAAGACTACTCAACTATAAAAAAAGATGAAATCTTGCCATTTGTGACAACATGGATGGACCTTGAGGGTATTATGCTAAGTGCAATAAGTCAGAGGGAGAAAGTCAAATACCCTATGATCTCACTCATAAATAGAAGATAAAAACAACAACACACACACAGAGACAGAGATTAGATTGGTGGTTACCAGGGGGGAAGAGGGGAGGGAGGAAGGCGAAAGGGCTGACTGGGGACATGTGTACCGTGACAGATGGTAATTAGACTTTGGGTGGTGAACATCATGTAGTCCACAAAGAAATCGAAATATAATGATGTACACCTGAAATTTATATAATGTTATAAACCAATGTTACCTCAATAAAAAAAGAAAATTGCTTCAGCTACTTTGATTTCGACCATTCTTGCTTTGACAAAAGCATCCAAAGCTACCCCGCTGGACTGGAGAAGAGTCAACTCCCAACCACGACACAGACATCTTATTCCAAGTAGCTTTAGTAAATTGAAAACCACCACCACCAAAAAAAAAAACCCCACCCAGTCCCGTCTGGTATCAGGTGTCACATCTGAAGTAATTATCAAAATAATCCGCAGCTTTAAAATACAAAATGCCTATCTGCTTTCTAAAAAATGATAAAATACACCAATCTTGAACTGTGAAGATTATAAATTAAGTTAAAAGCAAATAAATTCGCCTTTTAAGAAGCATACAATTAAAGGTAGTGGTTCCTCTCTGCAAACCAAAGCCTCCGAAATGGTAATGGAATTCTATTCACCTCCCCCGAGGGAGCGCGGTGCTGGGCTTCGGGCTTCTCTGGACGTTTTCACACAGTATTTGTCGTGGAGCCCACTCACCCGACCCTTCCTGCCCTCCCGCGGTCGGGTACCGAGCTGTGCGAGGCATACGAAACTGAGGAGGACGCAACCCCCGGGCCCGGGGGGGAAGGGCGAAGACGGACGGACGCCTGCACGGCGACAGGAGTGGAGGGCGACGGCCCCAGACCGAGAATTAAGGACAAGCCCTTCTTGGTGTTTATAGAAACTGAGGCGAAATCTACACTGCCCCACGGACTCCAAACTCTACCCGGCGCGGAGGGAGGGCGGCAGGTGGCAGGCGGCCTCCGCTCTGCGCCTCTGTTGACTGTCGCCGCCCCCTACCTTCCCCGCCCTCGCATCGGGGGTCCCGGACCCGGCGACAGGCCCCTCGGGCCCCGAACGGCACCCGAGCTTGCGGCCCGCCCGGAGGCTCGCGGGGTGGGGCGGGCCGGGGCCCGCGGGCGCGGCAGGGAGCGGCGGGCGCGCCGCGGCCTCACCTTGGACACCATCTTCTTGAGCTGGCTCTCCGACGCCGCCATGGCGGCCGCCTCGCGACTCCCGTCCGCGCAGGCAGAGGGTCAGCCGCTCCCGGGCTGCCCCAGGCCGCCCCGCACAGCCTCACACCCAGTAGCCAGCCCCCCACCCCCCGCCTCTAGCGACAGGAAGTCGGCCGCCACGACATCGCTTCCGCTTCCCTTCCGTCACTTCCGGGAGAAGCGACAAAGGCCGGGCGGGTTCCCACCGGCCGGCTCCTGGGGCGTGGTACTCCGCGGGCGGGTCGGGTCTGATGATGAGGGCGAGCCTGTGCGAGGGTCGGAACGCTGGGCCGCGCTAAGGCCGCAGGTGCTTCCCAGTTGTCCGTAGACTAAGGGAGCAGGTGCAGGGAGGGGAAGCAGTACGAAGGTCTCGCGAGTGAGCTTTCATGACTGATTCATCAAGTGGGCGGGCACTGGCCTGGGAGGCCGAAGACTCTTCTGCCACTGACTTGTCCTAGGGATAGAAGCAGGCAAGGGCACTTCCAGCTCGGACTTAGTGTTTTCCAACCCTAAGATGAGAGGCTTGCGGTAGATGATTCCCAGGGTCTCTCTGATGATCAAGTTGTTTTTTGTTTTGTTTTTGTGTTTTTTTAAGCTTAAAAGTTCTTCATACTACATTCACAAGGGCAAAGTGCACAGCTCTCGTTTCACAGGAAGCCAGGCAGTCATTTCTTCTCCAGGAAACCATTCCCCTAAGTCAGAACTTCTCCTCTGCACCCAGGCATGAGTGATAATACAGGCTGCATTCTACCTTGCACTATGTGTGCTAGCCTGTCCACCAACCAAGTCCCAGTCTTTGAGGGCAGGCTCATCCTCATTGCCTCCCACAATGCAAGAGTCAGTACTCGATCTTAACTGAATTTCTACTACCCATGAAAGTTCTTCATGGTAATTTTTTTTTTTTTTTTTGTGAGGAAGATCAGTCCTGAGCTAACATCCATGCTAATCCTCCTCTTTTTGCTGAGGAAGACCGGCTGTGAGCTAACATCTATTGCCAATCTTTCTCCTTTTTTTTCCCCAAAGCCCCAGTAGATAGTTGTGTGTCATGGTTGCACATCCTTCTAGTTGCTGTACGTGGGATGCGGCCAGAGCATGGCCGGAGAAGCCAGGCGTCTGTGCGCTCCGGGGATCCGAACCTGGCTGCCAATAGTGGAGTGCGCGCACTTAACCGCAAAGCCACGGGGCGGCCCTTCGTGGTCATTTATATTAGTCATTATTATTGCACACACCACCCGTTCTGTTAAATACAGTGTCATTCAATGTGTTGTAAAGCTTGGGTTTGATGATGTGAAGTATGATGATTTGGATGATTTTTGCGTAGCGCTAACAAGGAACAGGCTGTGGAATTCATTCCCTTCTAAACTGGCATCTAAGTGAAGGTCACATACACAAAGAAGGCCTAACAAACCATGTGGAAGTATCATTATACATTGTTGCCCATACACACAAAAAATAAAGCCTATGCCAATAGGCATCACTCTTTTGGATATGGACACCACATGTTAGTTAAGCATACAGCTCCAGTCAAATCAAACTACAGGGCAATCTATCCTTTCACTGCACCTTTTATGTCACTTAAAAGCAATGTGCTTTTCAAACTATTCTTAAAGCCACAGCTTCCTCAGGAGTACCTTCAAGTAGAGCAACTCTGCTTTTATCAATTGGGAGACTGCAGGTAATACATTGTTTAAAAAGTTTTCTTGCTAAAAATAATTTTTAAAAGTTTGAAAACACTTAGCAAAATCTAGTCTCTTCATTTTGCACTTAAGCCACTTAAAATAAATAAATACCCTGGGTACTGTATGAATTATATGAAAGAATCTTTCTCCTCAATCTGAATAATTTCCTTCAACTCAATAAATTAGGCATCTCCTGGTGATTTTAAAATCAAAGTTTATTTTATTCATTACCCTTGATATTTAAGGAGAACTACCATGTAAATTAGAAAATAAATATTTATCTCTGTGCTACAGCGTCAAAGAAGCATTTTAATCCAAGCCCCACTAAAAATCATACCAAGAAGAGACATTGCATGATTTTGGACAAATGAAAAAGTAAAAGTTAATAGAAACATAATGAATGTCAAATTATAACCAAATCATAGCGGGGTGGTGGTGGCACTGATTTTTGACTTACATATGGAATTTACAACATGATTGATAATACTCAACACTCAAGGAAGTACCTGATAGAATTACTTCTATATTGTGGGCTTCAAGGGCAAGGACTATTACTCATCTTTGAATACTCAGATTCTAACACAGTATTTGGAATAACATCAGATGCTCAATACGTATTTGTTGTGTTGACGTGTTCCTTGTATAATTAATGTAGTGAATTCTTGGTAATTCATCTATTATACAATATCTTGCTGTTAGGTTATTGTTCAGGAGCATATTAGAAATTAGATAGTAGAAATTATCTAATTTCTAAATAGGTATCTGATATTAGAAAAGTGTAGTTTAAAAAACACAAGAAATGGTTCTTTCAGTTTTACTTTCCTATTTCACACAAAAGGACAGCGAGGACACACTGTTAAGTAACACCAACATAATCTACTAGTGTAGTGAAATTACACAGAACTAATGCTTCTCTCTTCAAATGTCCAAGTGTTTATCCTAGTTAATTCTAGTGGGAATCTTTCCAAGTATATTAAATACTTTTCTACTTTCTTAAACGTGGGACACTGAATATAATTTCACCTTTTCTTTATGATTTAAGCTCATCATTATAAGCATCCATTATTATACTAAATCAGTATTAGTTGGACGGTTTCCTCTCTCCCTAGACTATAGACCAGCTGGCTCCTGTCTCTCTGACCAGGCTTGTATCCACCTATTATATGCTTCCAAAGCACCTGGGACTTATTCACAGTACTTATTACACTTGCAATTATACATTTATTTGTGAGATCTGATTACTATGTTTCCCATACTAGATTATAAGGACCATGAGGGCTTGTACTTAGTCCAGGTTTGCTCACCACTCTGTCTGCAGTGCCTAATACAGTGCCTGCTGTGTAGGCTCCCAGTCACTGCTATCTGAATGACTAAATAAATAAACACCACCTCAGTGCATATCCCTCTCTATTTGCTGAGGGCAAGTCTGGGAAGTCAGGAAATCAATCTTTCTACACACTATGTTAAAAGAAAACGTGAGCTCCTACATGAGAATGGAAGTGTACAGACCCCAGCTTTAGGGTCTTGTGGTAACTATTTTGGCTATTGGGCCTTTTTCCCCTTCTAGTGCTTAGAAAAAGGAGAGGTTGTATGGATAACTGCCCCTTAGCCATGAGATCTTGGGCACTAAACCTCAATTTCCTCCTCTACAAAATGCTGATAATAGTCCGTACCTCAGTGGGTTACTGTGAAGATTCAATAAAATAAAGTGCTCATCACACCCCCTGAAATATAAGAAGTGTTGACATTAGTTGTTACTATTAGTTGCATGTCACATTAGTAATAATATGCTATCTATAACATATGAAGATATTATTATTGACCCATCACCAAAGCATATGTTCTCTGAATCATTCCTTCAGGAGTTGTTAAACCATTTGCTCAGAACAATCAGTCCTTCCAACCTGTCCTCCTTAAGACCAATGGCTCTTACGAAAGCCTCGTATTTTAGCTTTAAAGTAAACTGCTTGGCTTTCATTCATAATCTATTTCCACTAAAAATACACATTTCTCTACAGTTCTACTAATATTACAATGAGTTTATGAGATGTTGGAGATCTTATATAGCTCAGGAAGAGGTTACAGAAAATTTCGGAAAGAATAGTCCCACTGGAAATTAAACTATACTTTTTCTTCATATATTAAAAAATTTCACCTTCCCTTTTATAATTTTGAAGTACATGTAAAATTCTTTTCCTTTTCGGTAGCTAATTAATTTGAAGAGGGGAAACAAAGTGCTTTACCATTACTATCAACTGTATTTTAAAGAAGAAACATTAATACCTTAAACTGTGAATCATTTGAATGTACACCTAGCACAGATTTTGTAAATCCATACTGGGCCTTCAGCTTATCATATTTATTATAACAGTCAAAGAATTTTCTTTTAAAAATATACTACTTTCAAAATATTCCCAAAGTGCTGAATGTGCTTTTAGTTGAGGATGCATAGTTTTAAGTGATGCGTATTGCGGATGACTGTTTACCTCTGCTGTAGGTTTAAAGAACGGTACAGATATCTCAAGAACAACAAAGAAAATTAGATTTTGTTGCTCCTAATCTAACTTCCTAAGAATTCAAATTACACAGCTAACCAAGAAACCATCTACCTTAACCAAGCAGTTTGTAAGGATAAATAATAAGATAGAGAAGTTTTAACCCTCTATATGTTGGCAAAATTAAATAACCTTTCCTTTCAGGTAACTGAACTTTGGGATCAAAGCTTTAGCTGTCGCTGGAGACCATGGATTGATGATGCGCTGCTCTGGAGCTTCTCAGTCACTGTATCTTCTTTCACTGTGGTTTTGATGACTTCCGATACCCCACTGGTTCCAAGGATGCAAGGCAAACTTAAAAACACTTCACTATTTATATCATAATATCCCTAAAATGAAAAAATAGGGATTATAATAGAGCTGAATCACTGCAAAAAAACATACATATGGATACTTTCTTGCTTTTCTACTCCTAGTACAAAGTGATACAAGTTGAACTTGAAAAAAAAATTTTTGTTCATTTATTTTCTAAACTCAAATTATTGTTTCAGAAAATTTTCGCGAGATGGGAGGAACTTGGTCAAAGACACCCACTTTGCGGGGAGGTAGGCTAGGCCCCTGCAATTTGGGTAGCAGGTGAGGGACTAAGAAAAAAGACTGTCAGAGTGGATTCCCTGGAGAGGGGCACAGCATGGGCTCTGGGCACAAATACAGAAACCTGTTTTAAGTTTTCCTTTCCATGTTTTATTTCCCTCCTGGTGTTTCTAAGTTTTCAAGAGAATGTGGTTAAGCATTTGTGCCTCATCTTAGCTCTGCTTTAGGAACTTCATGCTTGGCATAAAGTGGAAAAGTACAAACTGAACTGGAGAAGCAGACTGACGACCAGCTAAGACCAGCTAGCACGGCAGTCTGGGGTCACCTGGCTGGCTGAGGTGATAAATGACAACCAGAAGTAGTTTATGGAATATATAAACATTTCTTGGGGATTCCCCAAAATTACACAGCAGTAAGGGGCAACCTAGTAGAAATCCAGACTTCCCACAGCCAAGCAGGAGAGGGCTAAGACCAAACTGTCTCCTCGCATGTGTACTCTAAAAGCTGGTGCTATGGAAGACACTTGGGTTACAGCATGAACTGCACTTTTTCTGGTTAATAATATAGAAGTTTAAAAATATGATGAGAGAATGAGAATAGTAATTACCTTTGCTAAAATTGATACAGAATGCACTTTCTTTTTATTGTTTACAATACTGTCAACCAGGTCAGCTACCGATAGCCCGACAGACCAAGATCTTTGACCTTTTACCTGTAACAGTTCCATAGCTCTAGGTTACCAAAAAAAAAAAAAAAAAAAAAAAAAAAAAAAATCATCTCAGAAAATGCACAAAATATGCACATTTAGTTTTACATTCTATTTAAGATATTAATTAGATATTTTTATGACAGAAACAAGTTATACAGCAATTATTATTAGCAATTAAATATAAGCATACAGATAATCTAATGATGAAGCTCTTCTTAAATATCAGACAGGCAGTTCACAGACAGAAAATATAAATGGCCTAATAACATAAAAAGATGCTTAGGGGGGCCGGCCCCGTGGCTTAGTGGTTAAGTGCGTGCGCTCCGCTACCGGTGGCCCGGGTTCGGATCCCAGGAGTGCACCGACGCACCGCTTCTCCGGCCACGCTGAGGCCGCGTCCCACATACAGCAACTAGAAAGATGTGCAACTACGACATACAACTATCTACTGGGGCTTTGGGGGAAAAAAAGGAGGAGGATTGGCAATAGATGTTAGCTCAGAGCCGGTCTTCCTCAGCAAAAAAGAGGAGGATTAGCACGGATGTTAGCTCAGGGCTGATCTTCTTCACACACACACACACAAAATGCTTACCACCACTAAATTTAACTAAATATGAGTTAAAACAATAAATACACCAGTTTTGCCTATCAAAACTGGCAAAGATTAAAGAGATTGATAACTACTTTTGGAGAAGCTACAGGGAAACAGGCGTTCCTATAACTGCTGCTGAGAGTGTAAAGTGATACAATCTTTTAAGAGGAAGATTTGGCAACAAGTGATCTACAAATTTCTTTTCTAGAAGTTTATCCTACAGCAATATGCTCAAGTGTGCAAAGATATACCTAATAAGCATGTTTGCCTCGTTTGAGACCACAAAAATTTCAGAAACAACTCATCAAAAGAGAACTGGTTACATAAATTACTATCCAAATAGCGTCACATAGCTCTTGAGAAGAATAAGGTAGATTTATATGTCCAATATGGGGAAATGCCCAAGATTTATTATTAAGGAAACAAAGCAAGTTGCAAGATAATATGAATAGCATAAACCTATCATTATAAAGATAATAATGATAATGTTTGCAGAAGCATTGAAAAAATTGGACACGTGGACACTAAGCTGTTAACAATGGCTGACACTGGAGAATGGGATTACTCCCAGCTTTTCACTTTATAGATATCTGCAGTATTTAAAGGTTTATAATAGCATACATTCTTTTTGTAAATAATAAAAAAGATATAAACAAACGTTTGAATTTTTTTCCTTTTAAAAACAATAAATGCAGGATTATATAGAGAATCAGATTAGAATGGATTATACAACACACTACTCTTCTCAGTGAGAGAATATTCTTTCTAGTTGTTATATTCTGAAAACTATAAAGCAAAGGTTAATTTAAAAAGCTAAAACTCTCCACCACTCAGACTGCAGGAAAGTATGTTATGTGATGGTGAAACAAGAATTTGCATGAAAATATATAGTGTGTAGAGTCCAATTTATAGGGCACAGACCCTGCAAGGCCTCTGAATAAAGGCAAAAGATACAAGGATCTGTGCATTACACTTTGTTTTTTCTGAACTATAATATGGCTTATCCATTCATATTAGACTAACTTCCAAATGTATTTATGTCTGACTAATACATATTAATTTTTAAGTGGTATGAACAAATTCTTTTCTACATTAAGAAAATTCTTAATATCTTCAGATGTTTAGATAAGAGCAGTAAATCACTGTCTACAAATAAGGAACTTGTTCCGTCCTTTCAGTGTCAACTGTGTATCTGAAATAAAGTTTGCAAAGCACTCTTGGATCTACTTTCAGATAAGAAATCAAAGACTAGAAAACATTGCTCCCTTGTACTTTTGGATTTGTCCATACTTGCTCGTTTTGTTTGCAGATGCCTGGTAAGTTCATGCTGTGTAAATAGCTGTTGTGTTAGCTATGAAGTACATGATTTTTGGTTGGATAAATGCAAACCTACACTCAGTGTTACCTGTTGGACAGCTGCATCTGAGAGTTATGACTCATTCCGTCTTCTTGGCCACCCCATGTGGGCACTAAAAATTAAATGAAAAATTAATTATATTTTGTGACCAACTCTCAGGATTATTGATCATTTGCAGGCAAGTGTATCTGTATTAAACTTTACATAAACATTTCCCACCTGCTACCAATAGTAACATTTTTCCACCGATGGCACCGAATGTGCTGTACTGACTGCCTGGGGTGAGAAAGACTGAGCTTCAATCACCCAGAAAACATGATCCCCAAAGTCTATTTGCAGCCTCCTTACCTGTTTTCTCTCGTCAACAACAGCTCTACCAGAGCCACTTTACTTCCAAGGAGAAAGCTTTCTTTCCCCAGCAGGCTGTGTCTAATAGGCTCCCAAGAGCTGCAAGCATTTGTTCCATTGGGAAACACACTGATATTAATTTCTTTCACTGGGTAGGGAATAATTTGGTCACCTATTTTGGGCTAGATTTCCATAGCTGTTAGAGAGGGTCCTGTTTTCTAAGAGGATCTTTTGGGTTACCATTTCCTCTCACCACCATTTATAAAAACAATTCAAAAATTCAAAGCTGTGCACATGATCTGGATATTTATACCACACTTTAATATTAAATAGAAATTGCCAGAAACATTTTGAAACTTTTCTAATGTTCACCTGTTTCTCATCTGTGTGAAGACATTCTTTTATACAAATTCATATTAGGGTAGGCAGAAAAAAAAATACATTCAGATATATAAGACTGTTTATGTTGAAGATATAAGTTTTCTAAACTGCATTGAAAATTAGGCCATTTAGTGATGTGTCAGCAACAAAGGACACTGTATGTATCCAGATGCCTCCCTCCCTCAAACTGATCATAAGCTCCCAGGGGGCAGGGACCACGCGTTCTTTTGTGTCCTTGCCACATATTCTTTACCATGGTAAAGAACACACTGGAGATAATACACAACGGACCTCACACACAATACATAATTATATTTGGTAACAAAGAGGAAAACATACTTGCAACAGTTAAGTTGGAAAACATGGAAAATTTTTAAAAGTTTTTATGTTAAGTACAAAAAAAGGCAAAACCAAAAATTGTCATATGAAAATTATAAATACATGTGGACAGATTAACGGATTTTTAAAAAATGTTTTACTTGGATAGATGGGTTATATATGAATTATTTTCTAAAAAAATTTTTCTACATTATTAGTATATTCACAATAAAGAGAAAATTGGGGGAAAATGTCTGCTAAATGAAATATAGCATTTACAGACCTTGGAAAGATGAATAAAAGGGGCAAGGTAGGGGGGCCAGGCCAGTGGTTAAGTTCACGCACTCTGCTTTGGCAGCCTGGGGTTTGCAGCTTCAGATCCCAGATGTGGACGTACACACCACTCATCAAGCCATGCTGTGGCGGTGTCCCACTTACAAAATAGAGGAAGACTGGCACAGATGTTAGCTCAATGACAGTCTTCCTCAAGCAAAAAGAGGAAGACTGGCAACAGATGTTAGCTCAGAGGCAATCTTCCTCACCAAAAAAAAGAAAAAAAAAAGAAAAAAAAAAAGAGGGGAAGATAGGTATAAAAGACAAAAAACATCTGAGAATTAATCACGAGTATATATATATATACATTTCACATTCTTTACCTTTCCTCTCTGAGTCCTGACTTACAAGAACCATGAGAAAAGAATGTTTGGAGAGAGGGAGAAAGCTTCACTATGTTCAAATTTGCTTGTGACACATCATGAGAATTTTCAATTAAGTTTAGATGGACCTAATTATTTCATTTTTTGTTCATTTACTGCCCAACCCTTCAACTTCCTAAAAGTATATCTATCCTAGTTTAAGTAGCCCTTTCAAATATCATATCTAATCAATCCTAATCTTTCTGGTTCCACTCCTCAAGAGCAGTAATCCTCTGGCCCCAAAAATTTTAATGAGAAATGACCACAGATAGCTCTTTCGCATTACATACAATACCTACCCCTTAGGTAAGACTGATGCCCAAAGCAGATGGTCTATATTCTGTTCTGAGGTCCAGCCCTTGGATTTCTAAAACATCATTTGAAGGAGTTACCTGCAGTTTATATAAGATTTCAATCTCACAGCTGAAAATAGCAGCTCCAAAGCATATGTTCTGCTGACTATCTAATTTGGTGGGGCATCATATGAATGACCTTTGGTCACAACAAGATGGTGTCAGGATCATTCATTCATCTCAAAACACATTTACTGAGGCCATTCCAAGCTCAAGGAGCTTACAGGCTGGTGGGGTGAACAGACAGGTAAATATGCAGTTATAACACAGTGTGATAATGCTTATAGAGGCGTGAACTTACTTAACCTGGAGAATTAGGGAAGGCTTCCTGGGAGAGGTGGCACTCAAGCCCAGTCTTGAAGGGTCACCAGGAGTTAGCCAAGTGAATGCATGTTCAGGGAAAGGAAGCATCAGGTGCAAAGGCAAGGAGGCATGAGAGTGCATGAACCACTCAGGAAACTGCAAGTTGACCAACTGACCAGCACAGAATGCCTGGCGGAATGGCAGGAGATGAAGCTGGGGAGGGAAGCAGGAAACAGATCCTAAAGGGTCTTTGTATGTCATGTGATTCCTCCCCCAGGCTGTGGCTATCATTTGTCTCTGACATACTTGAAGAGAATAATTCTACTTACACATCTGCTATTCTTATAAGTCTGATTCGAAATCCTCATGTTGTTTTTCAAAGCGTAGTCTTATGTGTCCTTTTGCCAATTTTCTATTCATCATCATCTTTCCGATCACTGTAGTAACAGCTACCATTTACTGAGTGTTGACTCTGTGCCAGACACTGAACTAAATGCTTTAGATAAAGTATCTAATTAAGTCACAGCAAGAAAAAGCACAGCTTTGGAGTCAGACCAGGATTCAGATCTCAGTTCTGCCCTTACTAGATGTGTAACTTTGGGCAAATTACTTAACCTCATTGGGTCTCAAGCTTCCCGGAAAACTACCACCTCCTTCACAGGGTGTTTGCAAAATTTAAATGAGATTTGCAAAGCATTTAATACACTAGTAGGCTCTCAATAAAAAATAATTATAATTGCTATTACTATGGTGGTGTCACTTAGGCAAAAATATAACCAGTTGGTTTCTACACATAAAACCAGCAGAGGGAGCCTCTAATCCATTTCTGGCTTCAGAGCCAAGGTAAGTATACATATCCATGGCTATAACTATCTCTGAAACAAAGCAGAAGACAGGATAATAAGTTATCTGATAGTGGTACTAGATGGGAGACAGGGAGCTGGGTTGGGGAGTACATAGGTAGCTTCAGTGGAATCGGATGATCTTAATTGAAATGTGGATCCATGAATGTTTGTTCTATTATTATGCTTTAAAACATACATATACACTATATGTATTATTTTGTGTGTGTCAAATATTACATAATACTATATATTTAAGTGACCCCAAATCACAGGCACCTACATCCCTCTATTTCTAGTTCCCGTTTGAGAGCTCAAGATAGAATTATTATATCCCTTTCTTGTGTTTGTATCCTCCTTCCCTCGAATCTCTCTCATAGCAAGTTAATACTGCCTTTTATTATAGTCGTTTCCTGTATCTAGACTCTAAGCTTCCTAAAGACATGGTCAGGTTCTTACACATCTATATAGCTCCAACAGCAGTCAGCACAGAAACTTTGGCTTATTTATCAAGTCACACCATCCTTTATTTTCTTTTTACAACTTGAGATATTAATACAACCATACTGTGAAATGTTCTTATTCATTCAAAAATTGTAACTTATGAGGGGGACTGGTTAAATAAATTTTGGTATATCTGGTACTTAAAAAGAATGAATGAGATCTACATATGTAATTATGTAATTATGCAATCATTTCTAAGTCATATTGGTAAGGGGGCAAGATGGAGAATGAATAATGTATAATGTATATTTCATATATATGCTTGTCTATGCACATATATTCTGGAAGGTTACACAAAAAACTGGTAACTGATTGCTTCTAGGGAGAGGGACTGCGTGTCTGGCATAGAAGGGAGACTTCTTTTTCACTGCACATCTTTTTGTACTATTTAATATTTTTGCAATGTGAATGTACAACTTTTTCAACTAAAAGAACAGCTTAATAATTTACACTTTCAATAAGGAAAAGGTGCACACACAAAATTCAAATTGGATCAGTATAAACAGCAGTTTAACAAAAGAATAAATGTCATGAGACAATATATAGTTAACTACCTTAGAGCTAGCAATAGCTTTTAGTTCAGGAGTGAAAAGGAGTGAAGGAGTGAATAAATCATTGTGGAGTGATGCGATCAGGAAAAGCTTCATAGTTAGGAGGGTTTGACCTTTACCTTGAAGGATGAGATCTGAATATTCTGAGAGAGAACGAGAAGGGATTATGGGGGAGGTAAATGCAGTAGCCAAGGTTTCTGTGGCTGAAGAAAGCTGTGGGGCAGGGCTGGGAGGCACAAGACCTAGGTTTTAGTCTTTCTTTGACCTTAAAAGCTCTTAGGCAGGTCACTTTTACCATCCCTGCATCCACTGCTGGCTCCTTAAAACAAAATGTAATCAATGATCCCTTGGGTCCCTTCCAGCTCTCTAACAACATTATTGCCTCCATAAATATAATTGGGAAGGAAGATCAGGGCTATATTTTGAGACTCCTTGAATGCCAAGCAAAGGAATTTAATGGTTCAGTCAGAGGAAGCCCGTGAAAGTCTTTGGTTAGAGGAAGCCAGTGAAAGTTTTTGAAAAGAGGAATAGGATTGAGGAAGATTGAATTAATATGTGAAAGCATGTACGTAAACACTAGGTAAGTTTTTGCTATATCATTACTAATTTGGCATCATTACAGGGTAAACTAGAGGGGGAAGAGCAAACTAACTGGGAGATAAGCAAAGATGAACATGGACCAGAACTCAAATGCTAGTAGTGAGTCAAATTTGGGGTCTTGGGTTTATTTGAATCCCTAGACATTCATTACTCTAATTCATCTGCTCCAAGTTCTAGTTTGCCGCCCTTTTCTAAGGTCCTATTGATAGTGTTTAGTGTCAGGGAGCATTTGAGCCTGAAAAGTATTTCTGCTCAAATCACACTGTCAGGTTTTGTAAAGATTTATTCTATAGCCTGACTCTTTCTAATATTGAACTTTCTAGGTAGCCAGTGCAGATTTATAAAGATTTAAAATACTGCTATATTTTATTAAAATAATTTTCTTAAAAATTATACAAATAGTACACATCCATAATGACAAAAGTAGAAAACACAGAAAAATACAAATTTTTAAAAATTATCTCCAACCCAGACATAACCACTGTTAATGTTTTGTTTTAATGGCATGAAAGCATATAGGAAGCTTTAAACTCTAAGAAAACAGTTTTGAGAAGGTGATTTGCTTTATGGCACTACTGTTTAACTTCTCTTTAACTTTCAATGTGCATCGTCTTTCTCTAGTTAAATGATCACCTCCTCAGAGGCAGAGTAGTTCTTTTCTACATCATACTCTACCCTTCAGCACCTACACGCTGAATCAAGTCAGAGTAACATATTTCAAATGATGAAGCAATGCTTAATTTCCCCCAAATTACCTTTTCAACATATCACTCTCATGCTCAAATACATTTAATGGTTCCCCCTTCCTGAGAATCACTTTCCAACTCTTTGATCAGGTATTCAAGGATCTCCAAACTGTGATTTCAACCAGGCATATCCGGTTGAAACTCTCTGCAATGACTGGTCTAGATTTTTTATCCCATGAACATTGCCATACTTAACTATGTGCCTTTGCCTGGTTCTGATTTCCTATTCCTGGAATATCTTTCTCATTCTTTGCTATCTATTCAAATCCTGTTCATTCTTCCAAAGTCCAGTTCAATGATGGCCTGTATAGAATTTTCTCCAGCCATTTCAACTCATGTTAAATGCTCAGTCATAAGTGTCTAAGCACTGTTAGTCTATAATACTCATTTTGGCACTTAAATAGTATCCTATACTTTTATTGTTAGCTAAATCTTGTAAACATATGGATCATATGCAAATCCTTGTACATATTCTTTATTTTGAATTTTTTTTTGTTGGTCTAAAATAATTTTTAAGTATGATGAAGGAAGAGACTATGTTCTATGCGTCTTTTATATCATACTAACATCTTATATAGTAGTGAGTAGGGAGTAGACACTCATATACTTGTTTAAATAAATAAAAATGAACGTCACCTCATGCCTGTTAGAATGGCCATCATCGAAAAGACAAGAGATATCAAATGCTGGAGTGGATGTGGACAAAAGGGAACTCTTGTGCACTGCTGGTGGAACTGTAAACTGGTACAGGTACAATGGAAAACAATATGGAGGATCCTCAAAAAATTAAAAATAGAACTACCATATGATCCAGCAATTCCAGTTTTGGGAATATATCCAAAGGAAATGAAAACACTAACTCGAAAAGATATCTGCACCCCCATGTTCATAGCAGTGTTATTTACAATAGCCAAGACATGGAGGGGCCAGCCCAGTGGTGCAGTGGTTAAGTGCGCATGTTCCACTTCAGCGGCCCGAAGATTCGCAGGTTCAGATCCCGGGCGCACACCGACGCACCACTTGTCAAGCCATGCTGTGGCAGCGTCCCATATAGAATAGAGGAAGATGGGCATGGATGTTAGCCCAGGGCCAGTCTTCCTCGGCAAAAAGAGGAGGATTGGCACGGATGTTAGCACAGGGCTGATGTTCCTCACACAAAAAAAAAAGACAAAAAAAAAAAAGACATGGAAACAACCTAAGTGTCCATTGATGGATGAATGGATAAAGAAGTTGTAGTATGGGGCCAGCCCGGTGGCACTGCAGTTAAGTGCACGCTCTGTTATGGTGGCCCAGGGTTTGAGGGTTTGGATCCCAGGTGCACACCGATGCACTGCTTGTCAAGCCATGCTGTGGCGGCATCCCATATAAAGTGGAGGAAGATGAGCACAGACATTAGCCCACGGCCAATCTTCCTCAGCAAAAAGAGGACTGGTAATGGATGTTAGCTCAGGGCTGATCTTCCTCACACACACACAAAAATAAATAAAAGATCATTAAAAAAAAAAAAAGAAGTTGTAGTATATAGGATGGAATATTATTCAGCCATAAAAAATGAGGAAAGCCTACCCTTTCCAACAACATGGATGGACCCTGAAGGCATTATGCTAAGTGAAATAAGTAAGACAGAGAAAGACAAATACCATATGATCTCATGTATATGTGGAATCTAGAAAAACAAACAAAAAAATTCATAGCAAAAAGGATCAGACTCATGATTACCAGAGGCAGAGGGTGGTGGGAAGGGGAAACAGAGGAAGGTGGTGAAAAGGTACAAACTTCCAATTATAAGATAAATAAATACTAGGGATGTAATGTACAACATGATAACTAGAGTCAACACTGCTGTATGATATAGAGGAAAGTTTTTCTCATCACCAGGAGAAAATATTTTTCCTTTTTTTCTTTCTTTTCTTTTTATTCTATGTATATGAGAAGATGGATGTTAGCTGAACCTATTGTGGTAATCATTTCACAATATACGTAAATCAAACCATCACGCTGTATGCATTAAAGTTATACAGTGATATATGTCAATTATTTCTCAATAAAACTGGAAAAAAGTGAACAAAAATGAGGATAAACAGCACTTCTACCACCTGAACAACCTGACTTTACAGCATGAGGGAAACAATAAAGGAGTGAAGGAAGAGATTCTCAAGTCAGATAGGGAAAGCGTTTTTTTGGGATAGGAAAAGGGGCTTTCCAATCTGAGGAACTGAATGCTTTTTGTGGTAGAGACAGAGCAAGTGGCTGGTAAAAAAGGCCATAAGGACAAAAAGTGGAAATTCTGTTTAAAAAGGTGAGAAACATTGGGGCTGGCCCAGTGGTGTAGTGGTTAAGTCCACACGTTCTGCTTCGGCAGCCTGGGGTTCACAGGTACGGGTCCTGGGTGTGGACCTATCACCGCTTATCAAGCCATGCTGTGGTGGCGTCCCACATATAAAGTAGAGGAAGATGGGCATGGATGTTAGCCCAGGGCCGATCTTCCTCAGCAAAAAGAGGAGGATTGGCAACAGATGTTAGCTCAGGACTAATCTTCCTCACAAAAAAATAAAAATAAATAAATAAATAAATAAAATAAAAAGGTGAGAAACAGAGAGGAGGTATGTACCTAGGGAGAAAGTCTGAACTTAGGAAAGGTAAGCAAGGTTGAAGGGTAGGGAAAGTAAAGGAAAGAGATATGTATATGCTTTAGGGTTTATTTAAATGTTGCTCTCTAGAAAACTAAACTTTTAAATTAATCCTGGACTCTGAAATTCAATTAAAACAAATGAAACCTGGGGCCGGCCCCGTGGCTTAGCAGTTACGTGCTCGCGCTCCACTACTGGTGGCCCGGGTTCGGATCCCGGACGTGCACCGACGCACCGCTTCTCCGGCCATGCTGAGGCGGCGTCCCACATACAGCAACTAGAAGGATGTGCAACTATGACATACAACTATCTACTGGGGCTTTGAGGAAAAAAAAAGGGAGGAGGATTGGCAATGGATGTTAGCTCAGAGCCGGTCTTCTTCAGCAAAAAAAGAGGAGAATTAGCATGGATGTTAGCTCAGGGCTGATCTTCCACACACACAAAAAAATGAAACCTAAGGGGTCTTGCCTAATCTTAAACCTACAGAAAAGTAAATACAATGACAATGACATATGTGAAGAGCCTATTCACGATACAGGGCCTGGTACACAAAAGGCACTCAAATGTGGGACGAAATCCAACTAAGCTCCACAGCTCTGGAGTCTCAGATCTACCAGAATATCATGGCCACTGGTGACTTAGGTTATCAATATAACGAACAGAAACGTACTTCTTACCTTTGTCTTCTCCCTGCTCACCAATAACCCATACTTCTTTCCCTGAAGTCTGTGCCCTCAAAACATTTGTAATAATATATTGTAATCTCTGTGAATCCAGATTGCATCCAATTCCAATCACTCGATTTGCAGGAAATGCACTCAGTTTCCATGTCACATAAGTCATGATTTCCACTAAATATTGCATACAAGGTGAAAAGGTAAAGATTTTTAAAAATATACTTCCAGCCTAGTTCATAAACAAAATATTCATTATTTTAATAAGTATATTAGGGCTTCTATATACTCTTCTTAAGTCCTAAATGTACTATAAGGCATAATATATTTTTAATGTATATTAAAAACACTAACCAGATTTCAGCATGATTTTACATATCTTTGTTGTTAAATATAAATTAGTTAGAGTGGAAAACAGATAATTTCCTAGAATAGTTAAGCAAGAAGGATGAAAACTGGGTACAGAAAACCAGAGAGCAATATTTTTTCGTTGATCAAGTTCTCTCTTACATCTATCTTAAGCTACATTTCTATATTTAAATTAAAATAATGATTCATATACCACCACTATGCAGTATAGCATGATGAACAAACACATCACTACTTTTTTCTGCCATGCCAAAAAGATGTCAGGTTTAAAGAGTCTGGTGTCCCTCAACCAATTCTTAGAGAAAAACCAGTGAAATGCATACCACACCCCTATATTGGGAACATTAAAAAAAGCTGTTCACCAACTTGAGTCCAGTACCACCTAATTCTTTGAAAATATTTCCTTTTTAAGTAAAACAGTCCCAAAACAAGTTAAAAAATATAAAATGTTAAAAATGCACACTGGCATGCTCACTAACATTTTATGACACTTCAGAGTTAACAGAGATCTTTCACATAAACCATTCCATTTTTCTCTTGAGTATTTAACCATTTTCTCACTGAGGAAGGCATGGCTAACAACCTGGAACATAATAATGGTAATATTACATAAAAAATTGCAAGTTGTAAACCTTCTAGTTAATGCCAATCATAAGAAGTAACTGGTTGACAGGATATGGAAACACTTACATTGTTCATTATAAGAGCAATTTAACTGAATAGTCATCCCTTTATAATCTAGTTTTATGACTTTTATCAGTAATGTCAATCCTATTGGTGCACTGGACCATTAGATTAATTTAAAATAAAACTTTTTACCTGGTTGTGATGCAACAAGCAGGACACCATGTTGACTATAATGTCCCAGAGCTGGGACAAGGGCTCTGAACATATCCACGTTGCTCTGCACCACATCAAGGTAGGACTGAGAACTACCCAAAGAGTTGACTGTGAAGACCACCACCTTGGAATGAGCAGAGGCAGACAAATCTAGTGAATAAAAAGAAACAGTCTGAGCTCAAGATATAGGTTTTAATCAAGTTCTTGTTTTTCTTTTCTACAAGTAGAGAGCTTTTAGGCACACTCGCCCTCAGATTAATCCTATCTTCATAGGAAGTACACAAAGCGCTGAGGTTTGCCTCCAGAGGAGGATTAAGAGCAAAGCGTACACCAGGAGGGAACAGATAGCAATAAAGATAAAGAAAATAAATTACAGAATTCAGAACTGACAAACAAGGACTTAGTTTTCCATGTAATTCAGAGTTTTCCTAAGGAACAGAAGTAATATGCTATAGGCAAAATGCACCTAATCAATTACATCACTGATTTTAAACTGTGAGTGTAGGAGTCCTTGAGTTCCCTGAAAGTGACTCAGAGGCCATCTGGGAGGAGTGGATGAAGGTGGCAGGCACGGCTCCAGGCTGTTTACTTTGACTTCTCCAAGCAGAGTAGCTCTGCTTGTATCTATATCATTTATTAAGGATTCTACTCCAAAGAGGGAAAAAATGGTTTGAAAATCTTCAAATCAAGATAAAATGTCTTGTGGGCTGGCCCCATGGCTTAGTGGTTAAGTGCGCGCGCTCCGCTGCTGGCGGCCTGGGTTCGGATCCCGGGCGGACACCCACGCACTGCTTCTCCGGCCACGCTGAGGCCACGTCCCACATACAATAACTAGAAGGATGTGCAACCACGACATACAACTATCTACTGGGGCTTTGGGGGGAAAAATAAATAAATAAATAAAAATTAAAAAAAAAAAGATAAAATGTCTTGGCTCTTTTTTTATCGACTTTTTCTTTTACTGAAACCCAATGTCCTTGGTTTTAGGTTCTTCTTTCAAAGGGACCTATAGGTAAGCAACTGTCATGACTTAGGAAAAGCTATTCCCTAGAGTCCACTCCTTTGACCCTGAAGCAAACATATGCTCTTTTACAACCACAAAACTCTCTATCACACGATGTGTTTTACAGTAAGTGCATGTCAAAACAGTGGCCAAACATTATCAGCATCAGAAACAACAGAAAAATAATAAAGTAGCAAGAATCAGTTCAGTCAATACTCCCAAATGAATATTAACACCCCAGGGAGACAATCAGTAGATTCCAGGGTTTGCACTCTTAATTAAGCCTCTAAGGCCATCTTTCTAAACAAGTTTCAGAAGGAAACCCTTGTACAATGTGTCCACTGGGAAGTGCATTATCCAAGTTTAGTTCATATTCTGACACAGTTGTGGGGACGGCAGATCCAAAACCTGAGTCCTGGATTTCATTTATGGTTCTTTATGAGTCCTCTTAAGTAATTCCTGTGTTCTAGTGTTCAGAGTAGATACCTGGTAATGAGTCAAAACCTAAACAACTGGAAGACATTAGAAATGGAAAGTATATAGTTAACACTTCCATACCACTTCTATGTGCCAGGTATTGTTCTAAGAGCTTTCTATGTATTTACTCATTTAATCTAATCTACAACATACTAGGAGGTAATACCGTCCCTATTCTACAGATGAGGAATCTGAGGCACAGATACGTTAAGTAACCTGCTCAAAGTCACAGAGCTAGTTAAGTAGAACCAGAATTCAAGCCCAGGCAGTCTGGCTTCAGAGTGCTGTCAAGCACTATGCTATATTTAGAAACGTAGTCCTACATCCTCATAAACACGAGTAAACTGCTATCTGGAGAGATTAGGTGGCTTGTCCATATTATTAAAAATCAGTAAACAGTTCAATTTATGACCCTACAATTTGGCCCTGACCTATCTTGCCAGGATTGTTTCTTTTCTTTTCCTCCTTTAGCTTCCTCTACTTTGAATGATAGAAATGCCCTTACCCTCAAGGTTGCCTTATGAGTAAACAGAGTAGTAGTTTACTCTACTCTACATGTTAGCAGTCTAACATGCTTTCAAAAGTGCAAGAAAGCCTTCCTACTCCATAAGGTTTCCCATCAAGTTCCCAAGCCTTTTACTCTCTTCCTTTGAGCCTAGAAGCCGATATTTCTTATACTCCCCTATGTAAACCTCAGGCTCAAGTTGAATTGGTCTATGTTCCTCCTCAGAATATTTCTCTCACTTTCCTGATATTGGCTTTTGCTCAAATTCTTTCATCTGGAATGTTTCTCACTGCACTCACCCCATGTTTGATAAATATCTGTTTAATTGTTTACTACATTGAGCATATTACGAGCCCTGTGAGAGCAGGGATTGTTTGTGTCTTACTCATCCTTCCTTCTCCAAGAGCTAGTCACTTGGCAATTGGTACATTTTCTCCTCTCTTTACCAGTCCAAATCTCCCCAGTCCTGGAAGACTCAGCACATATCTCAGTCTTACTTAGCTGAAAGTAGTACCTCCCTCCACTCAACTCTAAGAGTCTTCACTGTCTATCCATTCTCTTAGCAACTAATCATAAATTGCCTCATTACTCTCTTGTCATGAATTACTGTTTACATCTTGCATGTGTGTCTTTTCATCTAAACTTTAAGCTGCTTCTGACCAAGTGGAAAGTCTTCCATTTCTATCAATACCCTGAAGCAGTTCTTAAATGCTAGGCTGGGTGCTTAAGAGTAACTTGGGAAGCATAATAAAATTACAGATTATCCCATGTTCTGAAGATTTTATTTCAATAGGTTAGGCGGAAACATTTCTCAGGAATGCAACTCTCCATGTAATTCTGATGCACAACTAGGTTTGGTAAACACTGCCCTACAGGCAACTAAATTCTTTGCACCTAATAGGCACTCAGAAAATTTTTATTTGACTCTTCCTTCTCATGTCTTCCCTTAGAAGTTGGTGATTTAATAAGGGGAAAAAGATTATACAGTTATAAAGAGAATTAGGAAGAACCTTATGCACGATTATGGAAAGCTATGGTATAAATTACAAGGTTAGGGATTATAGTAAAATTTTATTTAACAATAATACAGTAGGGTACAAGGGTTAGAATTGAGGGCTTCAGAATGAGATCGCCTGGTTCAAATCCTAACTTTACCACTTATTTATTAGCATAGTGAGAAGTTTCCTCCTTTGCCAGGTGCCAATTAGCATTTGTACTCCCAGGACACAAGCTTCTCACGTCTATCCCATCTCCATAGGTAGCCTAGAAAAACTATATCCTTCCTGATAAGCCACTGGTTCCTAAACCATAGGCCCTAGACCAGTGGCTGGTCATAGTTATACTAAGGGATACCAATCCAATATCAAGTATGTCAAAAGACCCACTAAACACTATCTCATGCTCTGATATGCTACTGTTCTCAGATTATAAGGATGATGTTGTGATAAATGAAATACACATTCATTTTAAATCATTACTGAATTATTTTATTCAAAACCATGGAAAACCAGGCAATCAAATAATGATGTCTAAATGCTGTCAAGACCTCACAAGCTAGTTTATCAGTCCGAATATAATGGAGACAGTACAAGTATTTCCATTTCCCTGATGTATTACTAACCCATTCTTCCTATAACAGAAAATTATTGAATATGCCCTTTTCAAATTATTTTTCACTATGACTCAAAATTTTAGAAATGTGTATGCTCTGCTAATGATGATGATGACCTTTAATTTAGAAACTGTGTTAAGAAGAGAGCTATTAAAAATCTTCCTATTTTTAGGAAGTCCCCCAAAGAATGCTTTAAAAGCTATTAAAAGTCCCCCAAAGAATGACTTCACAGTAGCTTTGGGCATTATTTCAGTCAATGACTAGAAAGGATATTTTTTTTTCCGGTGAAATGGGTAAATTTTTTTTATGTTAAATAAGAATGCCCATATTAAAAAAGAAGGTAGGGAATTACTGCTCAGTTCAAGTAAGTGCCTTTAATGATTACTGCCACAGTGAGCTGGGTCTTGGAGTTGTATAAAGCATGCTGAGACTTTCCATGATTTATCATGTGTGGCAAACTAAGGCCATGAACTGAGTATGTTATGCCATATCTCTAACTTTAGAGAGGACTGTCTGAAAAATAAAAGGTATGTCCATCGATAAAATTTCCCAGTAAGAGAAAAAAATGATACAAAACAAATTTCAGACACCAATACTAAAAGCATGAAGAGTAATGAGTGATCTGGCAAAAGAGTTCCTCTGGAAGGTTTCCTAGGGAGAAAGTGACAAGTTGTTTCACATGAAGGGCATGTTGAGGATAATAAGAGTCCTTGCCTAGAGTAAGTGGAAAGGGGGAAAGCAGGTGATGAAAGGCTTTAATCAATGGATTCTCAATTTCAGTTCAGTGAATTTCAAACTTTTCTGATTGTGAGCCACGCTATGAGAAATATTTTATATAACAACCCAAGACACAATATATGCATATGTGTATATATCTAAAACAAAAACATTACAGAAAATACCCTTACTACAAATGCTCTGATATTTTCTATTATTCTAGTTCATTTTTATAAAATGCTGGTCATAATCCACTATGCTGATTCCACAATGTGCAATTGTGTCACTACTCACAATTTGAAAAATATTGATTTTAATGAGTATAAAAATTACTTGAGCTACTTATCTAAAATGTAGATTCCCAGGCTCCACCCCTAGAAATTCAGGATCCATAGTCCTGGGGTGGTTGCCAGGCATCTGTACGTTTAAGAAGCACCTCAGGTGATTCTGATACAAATGATTAATCCATAAACCATGTTTTAAGAACCACTGGCTATTGAGAAAATTTTGCTTTGCTCCATATGTCAACAACAACTTATTTTTTAACAACTATTGAACACTTTTTTCTCCATGCACATACATGCACATAACCATACACACAAACATTTATGCCTGTATATGCACAGACTATTTGTGGAGTGAATCATGTGAAACTGGTAACAAACATGTTTGAAACCCTAGCTTAGCCTCTTACTAACTGCATGTCCTAAGCCACAAATCTCTCTGAGTCATCTACAAAATAAAGAGAAGTAAAGGAGTGTGAATATATGTAAAGTATCTAGCATACATACTGATTCCTTAAAAAATGGCAAGTATTATTATTAAGGGAAAACAGATGAACATAATAGTGTCTTTAGCCAAGCAATGACATGATCAAAATAGTATCATAGGACAATTATTCCCTTAGCTATGTTTAATATAGAACAGAAGTAATGAAGAGAAAGGAAACAGGAACCCTCATATACTGTTGGTGAGAGTATAAAGTGATACAACTTCTTTGGGGACAATTTAATAATATAAATTTTAAAAACATGTACCTTTCGACCCAGTAATTCTACTTTATCCCACTAGTTAGAGAAGTACACAAAAATTTTCATATTACAATGTTCTCTCTGCACTATTATTTGTAATCACAAAAAAACAAAACAACCTAAATGTCTACCAATAGGAGACAGACATCCATAAGATGGAATATTATGACACTGTTCAAAGGAATAGAAGGAGCTATTTAGATCTATATGTGTTGTTAATAAAGATCTTCAAAAGCATACTATTAATTCATCAATAACTTAAACACAGAATTGCCATATGACTCAGCAATCCCACTTCTGGGTATATACCTAAAAGAATTGAAAACAGGTGGTCAAACAAAAACTTGTACATGAATCTTCATAGCAGCACTATTTACGATAGCAAAAAGATGCAACCCAAATGTCCTTCAACTGATAAATGGATAAATAAAATGTGGTATATCCATACCATGGAATATTATTCAGCCATAAAAAGGAAGGATGTACTGACACAGGCTACAATATGGATGAACTTTGAAAACATTATGCTAAGTGAAAGAAGCTAGACACAAAAGGCCACATATTGTATGATTCCACCTATATAAAATAGCCAGAAGAGGCAAATCCATAGAGCAGATTAGTGGTTGCCAGGGCTGGGGGAGAAGGGAAAATGGGTACAGGGTTTCCTTTTGGGGTGAAGAGAATGTTCTGGAACTAGACAGTGGTGAGGTTTGCACAACATTGTGAATGCACTAAATGTCACCAATGGTAAATTTTATTACATGTATTTTAGCACAATAAAGGGATAAACATATTAAGTGCAAAAAACAAGTGCAGAACCAGTTTCCCCAGTGACTCCTGAAGCAACTACTCTTAATTCTTTAGTATTTCTCCAGATTTAGTCTACGCATACACAAGCATAACTGTTTTATGTATGTATGTATACGTATGTGTATTTGCATGCTCATCTGTAAATATGTATATTCCTCCCCAAAATGTTTTAATAGCTATGTAAAAAAAATCCAAATGGAAAAAAGTACAACTTTAGGATGATCAGTCAGTTGCAATCATCAATGCCTGTCACTGATGATTTCCAAATTTCTAAAACTACTGAGCTTCATTTCCCAAAATTAATGCACTTCTCTATATCATATAATATATTTATGAGATGTTAGTTAACATATTTAAAATTCTTTATGTAACAGTAATTAAATTAAGTGCTATTGCGAATGTACAACCAAAGTTAACCAGGGGAACATGAAAGGTGCCCCAAGGGGGTGCGGACTCATTCAACATTCCCTGCTTGGTGGCAAGCACCATGCACTATACATCTACTCCAAGGATTCGACTCTTTCAATTATCTGAAACAACAGTTATTGATGGTTAATGAAACACATAGGAAGAAACAATTTCTTCAGGTCCTACAAGGCCTCACAGCCTCTAGGGTCCAGGTACTAAAGAGTTTCCTAAAGTGATTTGGAAGAGTTAACAGGTCCCTCAAGAACTTCAGTACCTGGAAATGACAGGCACAAGAGAATATCCAGCTCCCCATGAGATCCTTTATATGAGGCCTACAAAAGGATCATTAAACCAACTTCTGTTCTCTTTCCAGAGAAGGAAAAAGAACTCATTGTACCCTGCAGGGATCCAGAGGCTTACTAGAACTACTACACCCAATTTTTATAGCCTATAGGTATAATTTCAACTTTTCTCACCTACTGTCATTCTTAGCACATTCAGGCTTGTGAAACCATGTCTTGATACTTTATTTGGAAAATATAGTGAAGGAATACAGGCGATCTAATGAAAAGGCAAAGGAAAGCCAAACAACTATAACATATTACAACCCGACTTGAGCTATAACCTAGTTTTTGAAGATCACTGAATTAGAGTAAACTCCAGTGTTACTCTAGTTCAATGGTTGTTCAATTTTTTTTGATCACACATCTCTGGTAATAAAATATTTTTAAGCCCACATTCCCAATTATGGTATTTACCTAGATATATATGTCTATATTAATATAGTATGTACATCATAAAATATATGCAAAAATTTTAATCAAAATCATAAGATAAAAATTACTTTTTTAACATTTTAAATTTTATTTATTAATGATACAAAAACCCTTTTTGTTCTTATTAAAACTTATTTTAAAAATATATTTTTAGTGAAAGCAATGTGAATTTTTTTTTTGAAATCTTGGTTTAGCACTTTGCTATATATCAAGAGGTAGGTATTATTCCCACTTTACAGATGATAAAACTGAACTTTGAGAGATTATATAATCTGACAAGTGTCAGAGCTATAATGTAGCAGAGCTAGGATACAAACCTCCATCTGTCAAACTCTAAAACCAGTGCTCTTAACCCATGTATTATGAGAAAAGAAGCAATCAGAGAAAACAAATTTATATTCTTGTGGAAGTCAGAAACAGAGAATAAATCCTTCTGACCAATCTGAATGTTATCTGTTTATCTGACTCTTGTTAACATAATCAGTTACAATGTCTATATGACTTTGGGTAAGTCACTTAACTTATCTGAATCCTAGTCTGCCAATATGTAAAATTAGGGACTTGGACTAGGTAATCTTTGATATGCTTTCACCATTAAAATTCTAGGACCCTAGGCAGAGAACAGAGGATTTTCAGGGCAGTGAAACTACTCTATAGGATACTATAATGGTGGATACATGTCATTATAGATTTGTCCTCACCCGTAGAATGTACACCACCAAGTGTGAACCCTAGGGCCGGCCCGGTGGCTTGGCGGTTGAGTGTGCGCGCTCCGCTGCTGGCGGCCCGGGTTCAGATCCTGGGCGCGCACTGACGCACCGCTTCTCCGGCCGTGCTGAGGCCGCGTCCCACATACAGCAACTAGAAGGATGTACAACTATCTACTGGGGCTTTGGGGAAAAAAAAAGGAGGAGGCTTGGCAATAGATGTTAGCTCAGAGCCAGTCTTCCTCAGCAAAAAGAGGAGGATTGGCATGGATGTTAGCTCAGGGCTGATCTTCCTCACCAAAAAAAAAAAAAAAAAGAGTGAACCCTAATAATGTAAACCATGGACTTCGGATGATAATGATGTAGCAAGGTAGTTTTATCAATTGTACCACTCTGGTGGGGGATGTGGACAATGGAGGAGGCTATGCATGTGTGGGGATGGGGGTATATGGGAAATCTCTGTACCTTCTGCTCAATATTGCTGTGAACCTAAAACTGCTCTAAAACATAAAGTATATTAAAAAATTCTAGGACTCAAATACAGGAGAAAATAAGGCAAACATCTTCTGAGCAAAATAATCAGACCTTTGCTGATCTCCACATTAGGCAGATTAAAGATGTCAAGGTCCATCATCCCTCCTTTAGTCCCTTCTGAGAGGTCTAAGAGGACTAGTCTGTCCGCAATGCCCTGTACAGTACAATAAGAGAATGAAAAGCATTACATGGCCAGTTACTCAATTTAAATTCATTCAGAAAGGAGAATATACAGGCTTCATGTGCTGTCTTATGAAGGAAAAGTAACACAATAGCAATAAATGGGACATGCAAACAAGAAATTATTATGAACTTGAATAATGTGATCCTTTAGGCTTGACTGAAAACTGGACTCTAACAGGGCTTACCTCAGATGTCACAGACTGCAGGTTTCTTTTGATGGGATAATGAGTAATAAAGATGACTTGGTACACTCAATATGTTTGCTATTATTCTAGAGCTTATGTTTTCATTTTGATGTCAAAATTTCCATTCTGAAAGAACTGAGTGATTTTCTTGTCATTTTAGCACCTCATTTCTAGCACGAAAGTCAACACTAATGCCAAGTTTCTCTTTAAAAAAAAGAAAGATTGGGCCGGCCCAGTGGCACAGCAGTTAAGTCTGTGTGCTCTGGTTGGGCGGCCCATGGTTCACAGGTTCGGATCCCGGGTGCGGACCTACGCACGGCTTATCAAGTCATGCTGTGGTGGCGTCCCATATAAAGTAGAGGAAGATGGGCACGGATGTTAGCCCAGGGCCAATCTTCCTCAGGAAAAAAGAGGAGGATTGGCAACAGACGTTAGCTCAGGGCCAATCTTCCTCAAAAAAGAAGGATAATAGCTATAAATCTAAAATAAAATCCTATTATCAAGCAGTTCTCTCCCCAGAGATGTCACAGAAAATACTCCACATGCCTGTGGATGGCTCCCTGGGTGCCATGGGGAGCTGACTGTAAATGACAGCACGGAAACTCCTAAGAGTCAGTTTACCTTTGTGGAAGGTCTTTTTCCAGAGTAGTACAGGATGTGAGGATAGCTCCTATCTTAGAGTGCAGGGGCAAGAGGACCCAGGGATCTACCAGACTATCAGGCATAAAGCGTAGAAGTTAAGATAACAACCCAGCTACGCTACTTACTAGCTCTGTAACGCTGGGCACATCACTGAACTCGGCCTTACTTCATGGGGTTATGAGGATTAATTATGTGACAAAGGGCTGGCAGAAAGCAGTCCTCTCTATATTGTACCTATTAATTTTATTATTGTTAACCACATTCACAAGAGAAACACAAAGAAAATTATGTTACCATTTTCATTTATCAGACACACAAAGATCTAAACGTTTAACAAAAGTAGTGTGGAAAAATAGGTATTCTCATACACTGTGCATAAGAGAATACACTGGTACAACTAATATGGGGGATACTCTGACAATTTCTATCAAAATTTAAAAACACAATAACTCCTTTAATCCATCAATCTCATTTACAGAAATTATCCTACAAACTTATTAGTGCATGTGTAAAATATACAATATGTATAAGGATATTCAAAAGACTAGAAACAATCTAAATGTCCATCAATAGCAACAACTACAATGAGGTGGATAACAGTAGTTTGGAGCAGAGCTTCTTAAGCTTTAAGGGATCACCATTTAACAGATCAGTGAAGCATACGGATCACCAGGGATTTTGTTAAAATGCAGATTTGCTTCCCTAGGTCTGGAGTGGGGCCTGAGATTACGCATTTCTAATAAAATCTCAGAGGATGCCAATGCTGCTGGTCTGAAAGCAATCCACTGAGTAGTAAGGATCTCAAATACAGGCTCTGTTAATGTATTGCGTAGCTTCCAATCCCGGCTCCATTTATTGAACAGCGTGACTTTGGCCAAGTTGCATAACCTCCCTAGGCCTTGGTTTCTTCATTTATAAAATGGCAGTAATGATAGTACCTAAGCCATAGGGTTGTTGTAAAATGAGTCAAGTGTTTAGGTGAGTGCTGGCACCTAGTAAGCATTCAGGAAAGGTTAGTTACTGCTGCTACCACCACCACTACTACTGCCACTTTTGTGACTACTGTTGCACTATTTGAATATTGTATCCTGTATCAAAATATTAATGCTTAAAAAAAATGGAAAAAATGTTCCATCTAGACAGTTCACAGACAAAGAAATACCGATAGTGACATTCTTCTAACAGTTTAAGAAACACGACTTTAAGGGGCCGTCCTGTATTTACCAAACACAAATAAAACTGATATAACTCAGTACTGTTAGGGATGTCAAAAATCAGGTTGATATGCACATTGTTATTAGAAGCATAAATTAGTTCTGCCTCTCAGAGCAATCTAGCAATATGTAATACGTGCCATAAAAACTATTCATGCCCTCTGACTCACTAGCACTATTTTTGAGATTATGTACACCTAAAAGAAAATTCAGACAAGAAAATAAGCAACTTGTAAAGCAATGTGTTAATTAGCAACGTCTTACTAAGTTGTAGAACTGAAAACAATTCAAATTCCAATTAAGAGAGAATAGTGTATTCACATGAAGGGTGGAGAAAATGAAACTATAATATGTCAAAAGTTAGCATACATTGCTCTGAGCAGCCAGCTTTTAAAATTTTCTAGCTCCCTGGATATACAATTTAATTATTTGTTGAAGTAGAACCTACCTCCAAGACATATGTGAGTCTTAAATGGAAAGGGAAGAATTTAGATGGCAAACCATCAAATTCTAATAGAAAAGAAAACCAAATGCCAGCTAGGAAATAAACATATAGAGGGACAGCTATTCTATTCTGGGCTACATCCCTCAAATGACAAAGACATGCTGTTACCAGGATACTGGACCCTAGAGGGTCTTTTGAGCCGCTCTGCAAGGGGATTTAAGCCTTTCTGAAAATAATTTATATTGAAAAGATCTAGTAAAAGCGACTGATGGAAAAATAAACAAATCTCAAACTAGCATAAAATATCAACTTAGAAACTATGATCCTAAAAGACGGTGGAGTAATTACACAAGAAAAGGCAATCTTTTTAAAAAAATGCTAATTTTAGAAAGAGCTGAAATTAAGTATTATATTAAATAAGAGTTTAATTAAAGCATGACTCAGAAAACACAAAAGAATCTGTGACTAAGTCAGATGAATGTCAAGTTGAGGTTTCCCTTGGATTAGGCCGATGAGACCATTGTTCAGACCACTTTTTCAAAGCCAAGTCCACGACTAACTACTAATTAAGAGGCAACATCACTGATGAGAGCTTTCAGCTATTTTTTTGTCAACTGACTAAATATATTTTAAAGCAAAATGAGGTTTTCCCACATGACAAAATGAAGCCATTATTTCTTGTATTGTTAAACATACACTGCCTAAAAGTATAGCAATATGATAAATGGATTTATAACCACTATGCTTACATACCTTTGCCGAAATTGCTAATGTGCAGGCAATTCCCAGTTCTCCACCTCCAACCACGGTAATTTTGTTGACTGTTTTATTCTGATGATTTGCCCAATTCTTTGAATTTATGTCTGAGACACCTAGAAAGGAAAGCGGATTATCACGAGAATTTAAAAATAATATCAAAAATCTTTTTAGCATCTTAAAAAAAAATACACCAACCTTAAATAACTTGGACAGAAAACATGCTGCTAGTCCATGATAGGCATTCAAAAATATTTGTTGAGCAAGTGAAATGCAAGAAAGACAGGACTCTCATATTAATATTCTACTAAATAGAGGCTACCCTTTTAAAAAGAAGGTATCTTTCCAAACATTTAAAAAATATGCTATACGATTAAAAAAATAAGATTTCCAAAATTCTGAAAAAAATTCTTTTTTTTTTTCACTGAGGAAGATTCACCTGGGCTAACATCCATGCCCATCTTCCTCTACTTTATATGGGATGCCACCACAGCATGGCTTGACAAGCGATGCATCGGTGCGCACCCGGGATCTAAACCTGCCAACCCCGGGCTGCAGAAGCGGAGTACGCACATGTAACCGCTGCACCACCGGGCTGGCCCCATGAAAAAATTCTGATTCTTACTGCTCTGGTCTACAATGCAAAAAAATCCTTAACTTTACTAAATTTTACAAGCATGGATATTTTGCTTTATCCTCCATGAGAAACATCAAGAATCATAGATTTTTCTGGTCCAATCCACTGAATGAGGCAAAAAGCCACATAAGCATATAATGCAAAAGGTTTGGGATTGTTAATATATATCAAGTGGTTTTGAACAAAACGAATTATTTTATCTGTCAGTATAAGAGTAATCTTTTTTTTTTTTTGTGAGGAAGATTGGCCCTGAGCTAGCATGTGCCAATCTTCCTCTTTTTGCTGAGGAAGACTGGCCCTGGGCTAACATCCACGCCCATCTTCCTCCACTTTATATGGGACGCCGCCACAGCATGGCTTGCCAAGTGGTGTGTCGGTGCACGCCCAGGATCCGGGCCGGCGAACCCAGGGCCGCCGCAGTGGAGCGTGCGCACTTAACCACTTGTGCCACAGGGCCGGCCTCCAGAGTAAACGTTTACGTTTTAAGAAACCATAGGGGCTGGCCCAGTGGCACAGTAGTTAAGTACACGTGCTCCACTTTGGCGGCCTGGGGGTTCACAGGTTCGGATCCTGGGCACACACCAACGCACCACTTGTCAAGCCATGCTGTGGCGGCATCCCATATAAAGTAGAGGAAGATGGGCACAGATGTTAGCCCAGGGCCAGTCTTCCTCAGCACAAAAGGGAGGATTGGCACTGGATGTTAGCTCAGGGCTGATCTTCCTCACAAAAAAAAAAAAAAAAAAAAAGAAACCATATTCATTGGAACTGTATGGTAACATTTACCCTATGATAGATATACAGGAATTTTTGATTCAACACAGATATGTACATATACACGCATGTATTTGTTTATGGAAATCAGGCAGCAGAGAGTAAATGGTATTAGTGAGAAATGGTAAACTCATAACTCTTTGATTAATAAAAATACAAACCTGGGCCGGCCTGGTGGCGCAAGCGGTTAAGTGCGTGCGCTCTGCTGCAGCGGCCTGAGGTTTGCCAGTTGAGATCCTGGGTGCGCACCGAGGCACCACTTGTCAAGCCATGCTGTGGCGGCATCCCACATAAAGTGGAGGAAGACGGGCACAGATGTTAGCCCAGGGCCAGTCTTCCTCAGCAAAAAAACAGGAGGATTGGCAGATGTTAGCACAGGGCTGATCTCCTCACACACAAAAAAAATAAAAAAATACAAACCTTCAGTGATTTTTGCAATATAGGCCAACAAGTCCACCTGCCGTGCTTCATCAGATGATGACAGAGAATACAGGGGAAGTTCCTCTTGAAACTTGGCAATCATTTCTTTAATTAATCCAACAATGACAGATTTAGGCTGCAGAATACACACAAAGGGAAAAGTTATGCAAAAATTTTGCTCAAGAATACTACCTTGTTAACCTATACATTGTTATCGAGTTAGCCAAAACAAAGTACTGCATCATACTCTCATTTTTTGAAAACTACCACACAAATTATGTGATACTTTTAACTGTTTTAATACTTCTAACAGAAAAATTACTTAATTCTTTTAACTGAAAAGTAGGGAGAAATGCTAATAAGTGGGAAAATACCATGACAGCCCTTACTAGCAGAATACCTATATTTAGGAACAGTCTGTCTGTCTTTTTTTAACTTTTTATTTTAAAATAATTGCAGACTTGTAGAAAAGTTGCAAAAATAGTACAAAGAATTTCCATATCCTCTTCACCCAGATCACTTCCATGTTAACATTTATCACATCTGCTTTCTTAGTCTCTTTCCCTCTATATATTTTTCTGAACCAATTGAGAGTAAATTGCAGATATGATACTCCTTCACCCTAAATACTTTGGTGTATATTTCCTGAAAGAAAAATCAAAACATAGGCCAGCCAGGTGGTGCAAGTGGCTAAGTGTGCACGCTCTGCTTCAGTGACCCGGGGTTCACAGGCTCGGATCCCCGGCGCGCACCGACAGACTGCTTGTCAAGCCAGGCTATGGCAGCATCCCATATAAAGTAGAGGAAGATGGGCACGGATGTTAGCCCAGGGCCAATCTTCCTTGGCAAAAAAAGAGGAGGACTGGCATTGGATGTTAGCTCAGGGCTGATCTTCCTCACCAAAAAAAAAAAAAAAAAAAAAAAAAAAAAAAAAAAAAAAAAAAAAAAAAAAAAAAAAAAAAAAAAAAAAAAGAAAAATGAAAAAACAAAACAGATCTTCTCCTGTATAACAATTATCAAATCAGAAAATTAACACTGAAGGGCTGGCCTCGTGATGTAGTGGTTAAGTGCGCATGCTCTGCTGCTGGTGGCCTGGGTTCGGATCTCAGGCGCACACCAACGCACTGCTTGTCAGGTCACCCTGTGGCAGCATCCCACATAAATTGGAGGAAGATGGGCACGGATGTTAGCTCATGGCCAGTCTTCCTCGGCAAGAAGAGGAGGATAGGCATGGATGTTAGCTCAGGGCTGATCTTCCTCACAAAAAAAGAAAAAGAGAAAAAGAAAATTAACACTGATAAAATATTATCTAATCTAGTACTGTTTCTTTTAGTTTAACTGGTTAAGCAACCTTAGTGTAATTCACTTAACCTTTCTGAGCTTCAGTGTTATCAGCAATATAATGTGAATAATAAATCCCAAGTGGCTGTTACGAGAAACAAATGAGCTAATGCCTGCAGACTGTACACTGTGAGTGTAAAATATATGTTTATTATTATCATTAGGAATATTCAGTAGTTTGCTCATTTTAAAAAGTGCTTAATTTCTCAGAGTCTGGGTTTTTCTATTTATAAATTAAGAAAATGAGGCCATTAGGATCAAAAACTCAAATACTTTTAAAGACCAAGCAGATAACATAACGTGTGAAGTTGTCAAGTATAAGAAAACTTGGGGAGATGGTTATTGTGCCAAATTGGAAAGAGTACACATACAGGCATTCAAACTCATATTAAGAACAAAACAAAACCACTGTGCTGTTCAAACAAAATTGTGTAGGCCTAATGCAGCACACTGAATCTCTTGGGGAAAATGTCTGCAATCCTTGGCCTAGACAACCTCTAGATCCCTGATAGCTCCAAAATTCTATACAACTATACTACATAATTATAATTCCAACTGCATGTGGAACTTAAAGTTACTATAGTACTTTTATTTATTTATTTTTTTTGTGAGGAAGATCAGCCCTGAGCTAACATCCATGCCAATCCTCCTCTTCTTGCCGAGGAAGACTGGCCATGAGCTAACATCCGTGCCCATCTTCCTCCAATTTATGCGGGACACTGTCACAGCATGGCCTGACAAGCGGTGCATGGGTGTGCGCTGGGGATCTGAACCAGGGCCGCCAGCAGCAGAGTGCGTGCGCTTAACCGCTACGCCACGGGGCGGCCCTTGCAGTACTTTTAAAAACGACAATTTAAATAATGTAATATCTTCTTAAGACTAGTTTTAGCTTTTAATAAAAAGGCTCAGAACAGTAAAATGAAATCAAGACCGTCTGAACTGAAATCAAGCACAACCTCAATGAGATTATAGAACTATCTCTGAGTATTTATTAAGATTTTATTTATTTACTCCCCCCCCCTCCAAAGCCCCAGTAGATAGTTGTGTGTCATAGCTGCACATCCTTCTAGTTGCTGTATGTGGGACGTGGCCCCAGCATGGCCGGAGAAGCGGTGCCTCGGTGCGCGCCCGGGATCCGAACCCGGGACCGCCAGCAGCGGAGCGCACGCACTTAACTGCTAAGCCACGGGCCGGCCCACTCTCTGAGTATTTATTAAACAAACAAACAAAACCATGAAAAGAGATGCCAAAGAAAACCAGAAAGAGGAAACAGGAAATGTGAATTCCTACAATAGGGCACAGATGTCAAAATATTGTTTGAGGATAGTTTAAAAAAAAAAGGGGGTAAAAATAAATGAAGGAGCGCCGGCCCCGTGGCTTAGCGGTTAAGTGCGTGCGCTAAGCTACTGGCGGCCGGGGTTCAGATCCCTGGCGCACACCGATGCACCGCTTCTCCGGCCATGCTGAGGCCGCGTCCCACATACAGCAACTAGAAGGATGTGCAACTATGACATACAACTATCTACTGGGGCTT